TTTCTTTGCAGGGTGCATTTCTTAGTTGCAAAGAGAAATGCACGGTGCAAAGGAGTTCCCGCCACCCACATGCAAATTTGTGTCCCACCATTGGCCAGTTCTAAATTATTCCCATGTCGCCGAACGATCCCTCGACGAACCCCTTCCCTGCGCGCAAGTTCCACAGAGCCTAGCAAACTTCGTGTGAGTGTATCCAGAGCTCTTTCTCCAAGTTGTTTTCTTCGGTTGACACGACGGGCTCGCGTGTTTAGAGCCTTCAACCGGATTGGGCTAGAGGTTCGCGTGGAAGGAACTCTTGTCCACTTCTCTTCTTTTCTGTCTGTAACTGCAACTCAAGCAAATTTTCCTGCCTGCACCGCGACCATCTTCGGTGTAAGTAAAATAATCTTTAATCAACCGCTACGCGTCCATGCCTAATTCTAGTCCGCCGGCCTGCATTCCCCGACCCGCGTGCCAGGGCTGCTGGCCACAGCCTGCCGCGTGCCCCCGAGGGCCTCGGACCGCTCCCAGCCCGCACAACACGAAGCCAATTACATGCAAATCATACATTTTGAAATAAAATGAACAATTAAAAAATTGGACCATGACTAAATACTTTTTCTTGAGTATTTTTTTTTGCTACAGCTAGTTTCATACGGAGTTAGTCTGTGTGTTAGCCAGACCTTTCACTCCAAACACTAGGTAATAATAATAGTATCAGAATAGGGCCCAGAGTTCAAAATCAAGACCTCACTGTGTTATGCACCACAGAAACACAATAAAATATTTCTCTAGCAAACAAAGCTTCAGAAGACTGCAAATATTATGTAATCCTCAATGCTTTTAATTTCAATTTATTCATATTATCACTGTCAATACCACTACGGCTTGATGGGGCAACTCACCATTGGAGACTTATAGTATCTGTGCAGGATGTTAATGAAATCTGTAATTGTTAACATTCCTGTAAAAAAAAAAAAAATTAAAAAAAAAGATCTTTGATACAACTTTAAGATGTCTTTGCTATTTACATATGCATTATATATTTTAATATTTACTATCAAATTTACAAGTTTTTTGTAATTTAATACAAAATTACAAAAATGGATGTCTTTTAAATCATTCCCAATATTAAATTCAACCTTATACATCAGATAAGAAGAGAAAGAATGATATTGGTACAAATCTGAATCAAACCATCAAAACCTTTTGAAGCTAGCTCTTAATTTCTGAATTTCTGTCAGCTCAACCCAAACAAAACCCAGAACTAAGACAGACTCCATCTTTTGGGGGAGGTGAGTGAGTGAAAGGGGGCAGAAGGTTTTTAAAACCCAGCTATGAAGTTTGAGATGCTCCTAATAATTTTGTTTAATCGAACACACACTTAAGGAGAATGTAAGTAGCCAGACTTGCAGATATTGAGAGAAGATTTTGGGCCATTCACTCTAATCTCTTAAACCGCAGATCAATAATATTTCAGCAAGCAGATCTATAACTTCTGCTTGAAATAATGTTTTTCAGAAACATCATACCCCTTCCTTACCCCGAGAACCAAGAAGTGTGGGTCTGACCTCTACCTCACCCCTTTCCCAAGTCAGGCAAGTACACTGCAAACTTTCATCTATATTACAGGCTATTGGAAATTTACTGAACTCATGTTTAGGAGAGGGGAAAGCAGAAAACTGAATATGCCCCTACAGTCACACCCCCCCCAGGATCCCTGTGAAGCCTTGGTGCAAGCACTCCCCTGTTCTGGAGGATTCCCAATGCACAGGTCTAAGCACTCCACCTGCCCCACCCCGCCCACTTCAAGGCATGCTGGGCTACCTGCTCGCTGTCAGAGCCATAGCACTTCCCACAATTGTGAACTGGTTTCCAGTCACATTTGAGAACCATTCAATTGTGACATGTCTCTGCACCCTGTGTCCCGCCCACAACAATTGTGAACCGGTTTTCCTTTTGTGACATTTTGGAACGGCTCAATTATTATGTGAATCTACACCCTATGTCTTGTAAGAGTCCACAGTGGTTCTGTGTTTAATGCTTTTTCCTTGGCAATCCACACAGAACATACCTAGAACATAAAAATGTAAAAAGTCTCATATCAGCTATAAAAAGTCTGCAGAAAGTAGGTAGCCTGGGCCCAACAAGTATTTTGCCAGACATGTTAAAGCAGGGGTATACAACCCCTGGCATGCATGCCAGTGTGGCATTTTGTTTGGTACATACGCCTCAGGGCGGATGGTGGGAAGTGGCTGGGGCTGTCCCGCCAAACAAGGATCGGGCCCCTCACAGTTCCCTTGCCACCCACCCTTGGCACACCAAATCTTACAAGTTGAGATTTTTGGGCAGAGTGCCAAAAACAATGTTGCCGCCCGCTGTGTCAGAGAGACCTGGAGACTATACGTATCTACTGGGAAGAGGTGACAGTGGAAGTAGAGAGAGGTAGCGAAGGTAGCTATTCTGGGTGTAGGTTTTATGGTTAGCTGATCTGTAAACACACTCTTCAGCATGGAAGCATTACTTACATGATAAGGCAGCATGTTAGCAGATCAGGGCCCTGCCATACATTCAAATTAAAGCTGCACAGAAACCAGCTATAGAGTTGTTACCCATTTCCAAGCACTAACTTTGTACCTGGACAGCTATTTTTATAACTAGATGGACATTTTTATGGTGTGATAATCACTTTGCTCATGTGGCTGGTCTAAATTTATTGCACAATTACCAGTTAATTGCATAATATATGTAATGTCTAGCAGGGGGTCTTAGTTAAGAGTGAAGAGCATCTTAAAATAGGACTCCTTCAAAAAGAGGAGGAATGACTTTACTCTATTTGTAGTGCGAAATATTTACATGAAAATGGACAAAAAGTTTATTTTTTTAATGCCAATTCTTTTGCTAGGAATATACATGTTCATAATAGAAGTGAAAAGGACTTCAAACAGATGCTCCAAAAACCATCGTATTTTTAGGGAAACATTTTCAGGACGAAGAAGTTAAATGAACTCTCTCACTTAAGGCTAGCTGTCCAATTCCTTAAGGTTCTTTTGAGGTTTCATGCAATGTCCTCCAATTCCCAAACTCTTGGCCAAGGCAAAAGAAATATGGGTGGGGAGGTATAACTTTCTTAAAATTGTATCTCACACTGGTAGGTCTTCCCCAGCATTATCAGCCCCCCTAAGCATTTCAAAGATTCTTATGTCCAGTACCGTAGCAAAGCGGGGGCCAACGGGCTGAATGCCCCAGGTACCAAAGTGAAGGGACACCAGCAGGTGCTGCCAGCAAGGGCAGGGCGCAGCATGGGATGGAGCCACAAGTGGTTCATTTGGGGGAAGGAGAGGAGGGACACAGGGACAGGGGAGGGCAGCTCCCACTGCTGTGTGCACTCTCAGGCAAGCATGGGGGGGATGTGCGCCCTCAGATCTGTGCGCAGGGCGAGGGCGGGCTGCTGCTGCAGGCTTACCCCGGGCACCAAACGTCCTTCCTACACTACTGCTTGTGCCAGATCCATCAAATCATAACAGTACAAAGTTTTGCAATTATACTGCTTTCTGGCTTCCCAGCTCTTACAGTTCTTGCTTCCAAGCTCCTCTTCAACCACAATGTCTAGAATGCTGAATTTAAATAGAGTGGAAATTTTTGTAATAACTCAATTTCAGGAACTGTTGCTAAGTTTTGGAAGATTCACAATGAAGTTATGTAATCTGGCAACACTACATGTGGACTGGGTGATGAAAAAAAACCCCTAAACATTATCAGATGCATCCTCAGGATATAGAGCATAATGAAGTTTGGTCCTCCCCCACCACCCTTACTGCTCAACAACACATGAACTGCCTACTGAAAAATTATTCTTACCTACAAAACTCTGCTTTTTACTCTCCCACAGTGGAGCTGCTCGAACACCATTTGCCACTAAGGCAAAGAATGCCTTCTTTACCTGCAAGAAAGAAGAGCAATTAAATATATCCTTGTTACCATTAAGTCAGAAAATGAGAGCTAAACCAAGCTATTTACACAGAGGCACTGGAGGGGGATGGCAGAGGTTAGTTACTGTCCATGGATATTTTGTATTTAAAAATAAAAATTATTTTTATTTTTTTTAAATAAAAATTATTTTTAAATTGGTTAAAAAGCAGTGATAAGAACCAAAACCTCTTATTTCGTCTTTGTGTGTGTTACTTATTTGACGGCCACTGATGCACACATGATTCAGCTAGCTAAAGTATGCCCACTTTACCCTCAATTTTGTCTCTTCTGTTAGTTTTATATAGCAATTAAGGTTACACGCATTTAATTTTTGTGTCTTCTTTGAAGAACTATGTACAATAGGAGCGGTCTCAGACTCCCACTATAAGCACCTGACTGAAGTTTAAAGAATGTACTATATTTCAAAAGAATATACTGGGTCACCTGAAAATAAAAAATTATTTGGTTCAATGCTCACAGTAGCAACATTTGTATGAGAAAAGGAAGAAGTTAAACAGAGGTCTCCTTTCCATTC